GTCCAACACTCTGTATCACACAGTGGCCAGAAACACCAGCGCCATCAGGAGGTCCACCAGTGGGGCGAGGACACCAGAAGCCATCCCACTGTTGACCCCCCCCCCCAAGCACCAAGAAGAAAGAGCATCACTTGCCCCAGAGTCCCTATCTATACCTTGTGGCTAATAGCCACTGATGGACCTCTGCTCCATATGCTTATCTAATTCCCTTTTGAAGCCGTCCATGCTTGTAGCCACCACCACTTCCTGTGGCAGTGAATTCCAAGTGTTAATCACTCTTTGGGTGAAGAAGTACTTCCTTTTATCCGTTCTAACCCGACCGCTCAGCAGTTTCATGGAGTGCCCACGAGTTCTTGTATTGTGAGAAGGGGAGAAAAGTACCTCTTTCTCTACCTGCTCTATCCCATGCATAGTCTTATAAACCTCAATGGCCTGCTTGCACCAGTATCCTTTCCGCACTAGACCTTAAGTCCTGGTTCAGCCCTGTCCCCAAACTTACATTCTACAGTACACCCGAGTTCACCCCTGAAATTATCTCGGAGTATTTTCTGTTTCCACATTACATTGAGGTCACCCCAGTTTCACCTCACATTTATCCTGGGATAAACAGATGCTGTTATAACCAGGGTTAAATGCAAGGTATTGTGTTCTGAGTTGAACTCTGACAAAACCAGGGATGAGATCCGAGTGCGGAAAGGACCACCGTATGATGCTGAGAGTTGTAAGAAGGCTGTCTGTACTAATGCCTATGGCAGTAGACAAGAGCAAGGGTCCAGTAACAAGCTGTGAGCTTTCATGAGTCACTGAAAAGACCAAGAGTCCAGGAGCACCCTCAAGACTAACAACATTTGTGACATTGTACGAACCTTTGTGACTCACGAAAGCTCCTACCCTGCCACAAATTTTGTTAGTCTTTAAGGTGTTACTGGACTCTTGCTCTTTCTGACTGCTACAGACTAGCATGGCTACCTGTCTTGATCTAATGCTTATGGGAGCGGAAGTGTGGAAGGCACAGTTCCCCAGCCGTCAACTACACTCTCAGCTAGTCTGAGGTCCTTAGAGGCCTCTGGCTCCCAGGGCAGAAAGGATAGCCTCCCACGCTGCTAGGGTCGCTGATCCCCAGGTGGTGGGCTAGAGATCTCCAGTCCCACCCCCCCCCCAGCTTAGTGTCTCTGAACCCAAGACTTCAGGTAGGAGATGCTGTGTGAACATTTCCTCTGCAAAGTGGGGTGTTCTAAGGCGGTATGATTGGATTGGCTGTTTTCTTTCCTGTGTGTTGGCTGGTCAGAAGACAGTTTGCAGGATGGGATACAAACCCCATATGCAGAGCGACCAGAAGCACGGTCATTACAGGGCCTCCTACTGAGCACAGCAGTTCCCCCTTCAAATGCGGGTTGTGTTTCCCTGGCTCCTTCTCTTGCGTTCTGTGGGTGTGTTGTGCTATGTAACGTAGGCAGAGTCGGAACTATGGGGGGAGGGGTGTTATGTACACGGACCACCACCAGGGGTCCGTGGCACAGGCAAGAGCTTGGATCCTAGAACAATGGAAACTTCGGATCCTGGATCCCCCAGCCCCAACCAATAGCCACCTTGGCGGGACATTCAAACCCTCCAATGGGAATGGGGGGTTGCTGGGTGGATATGTATATAGTTGGCCCTGTCGGCCATTAGTCTTAGTCTTTGTCTGTGTTAAGTACAATAAACGTGTGCTACAGTATGTCGTCTGAGTCCTCCATGCAACGAACCCAGTACTTTTCAGGGTGAGCGGGGGAGAATGACGTCAAGAGATGAGCTGGTAACAGCAGACTGCTTCCAGGTATGGCTGATACAGAAGTGCCATCAACATGCCACTCTGTGCCTGGTGGGTGTGGATAGTGTCACGATGGAAGCCAGTGCGGTTGCCGTGTGCTCAGCACCTTGGAGTGGAGTCTGTTTCAAAAACAAGTTCTCTGCTCAGAGAGTAGGATACTGGATACTGATATGGAGCAGAGGTCCATCAGTGGCTATTAGTCCCAAGGTGTAGATGGAACACTCTGCCTGGGGCAATGATGCTCTGTATTCTTGGTGCTTGGGGGGCAAAGTGGGAGGGCTTCTGGAGGTCTGGCCCCGCTGGTGGACCTCCTGATGGCATCTGGGTTTTGGCCACAGAGTGTTGGACTGGATGGGCGACTGGCCTGATCCAGCATGATTTCTCTTATGTTCTTTGGATTAGCAATGCTGGCATCATGCTGGTGCGGGTGACAAGTTAATATATGGTGTTAAGAAGGGTTCCACCCCACAGCCACCCATCTGAAATCTGATTAGCCTTTCTAGTTAGAAATGGTGGCCAGGTGCACTTGAAGATCACTGATTCTGTTTCTTACTTTTCTTTGCTTCAGCTCTTGGTTAATGTGGAACATGTAGAATTTAAAATGTCCTGGGAAAAGAGGTACTAGAAAGATTTATGACTATGGTAATAATTAACAAATTCAAGGAGTAAATTTTTTTAAAAAACCCAATTCAACAGAGTGTGCCAAATTACGGAGCAAAGAACATCATGCTAAACATGTTACATGGACTGAAAAAAGATAACGGCAGGACAAAGACGTATAACTTTGAAGCTGCTATTTTTTATTTGGATTGTTTATTCCTACGTTATGCTTTACATAAACACACAAGAACCCAAAGTATCAGTAAGATCAGTGCACAAAACCTATATAAGCTCTCACCTTTAAATTTCTATGATTTTACTGAATTTATACAAACTGCATATATGTGCTCATTAAAAACATCCCCCCACACCAATGAAATCCACACAAAAAGTACACTGAGAGTACTTCAGAGTAACATCACAGTTAGGTTACTAGTACTGAGCAGTTTCAACGGAAGCATTAATTGACGGCAGTGGAGCTCTGCATGCATTAAAACTGTATAATTACTGGTACTGTGTACAAGAAAATTACTGTGTAAACTGTTTATTATACTGGTACTGATGTACAAGAAAAAAGCACAGCCCGAGTTTCAATTCTCAACACGAGACTGACTTTATTTTTTAGAAAACTTTTCTCAAATAACTGGTGTCAATTTAATAATACCAAGTAACATCCACCATAGAGTCTGCTTGGTGAAAAATGGATTTGCTCACCATTCCTTAAAAGAGCTATAAAAGCACAAATGCCAGTCAAATTAATGAGGTATACAGCAACGGACACGGGGAGCTCAGAGCAATAAAGAGTGGTGTAGTGCTTATTTGTTTTCTTAAAATCACACAACAAATATTATGCTTTAACTCAGACAGGCTATTAAAAAAAGTTATCCGATTTTCCAACAGAAAAGTCATGTATTGGCATTTTTCACTACACAGGACACCATCTGTCCTTCATACAGGACTACCAGAAATGCAATCAGCCCACATTAGGCACTTTTTGCTTTAACTTCCCATTTTTTAAAAAATCCAAATGCATTTATTGCAAACCAGACAATAAGTTCATCAGTCAGTAAATAAAAAGGCACTTATGGTTTCAATGGGTATCTAAACAGAAGTTTATCCACTTGATGCATACAAAGTCGTACAGCCTGGTACTATGCATGTTTAGTCAGAAGTTAAGCCCCGCTGTGTTCGATAGTTTCAGAGGATAGCTGTGTTCAAAAGTTTAGGCCCAGAAACTGTTGGTCTTCCGGGTGCTACTGGACTCAGATATAACCGTGTTCAATGTAACTTACTCCCAAATACAGTATGCATAAAACTGCAGCCTCGGCTGACTGTAACTCATTTATTGAATAAATACTTCACTTTTCAACTTAGAAATTCCTAAAGTGACAAAAACTAAGAAAGGTAAAAGCAACAATAAAGACACGTTAAGAGATGATCCATGCATTTTTGTGAGAGAGAGCCAACACAGAAATCACCGTGTTGTCTTTCTCCTACACGGGCTGCAATTATAGCTAAGGAAAGAAACGTTGCTCTTTAAAGAAAAAAGGAAAAAACCTTTAGTAGGTCATGTTTTCTATTGACATTTCAAAGCAAACAAACAAACTTGACGATTTAACACAATTTGAAGAATTCATATGCCATGTACAGGTTAGGATTCCAGGCTGCCTTTATGGATAACAGACATGATCCAGGAGGACAGGGCAACACCCTCTGCTCTTGGCAGGCCACGCTTCTCCCGCACATGATGTGATCAGGATGAACAAGACAGGAGGGAAGAAGGATGCCTGCACCAAATAAATACGACAGCTGCTCCCCACTTTCCCCTAAGAGGCTGCAGCTGCTGAAAGAAAGAGTATCAGCAGCAGCGCTGGTCTTCTATTACATGTGCCAATGTGACACACGACCACCAGATACACATTATACTCCCAGATGCTGAATGCAAGGCATATTTCTTCCTCGCTCTGTGTCACTAGACATTTCATTCCATTTGGAGCTGGGGAAGGGGGTTACACAAAGTTTTCTCCTAAAGATACATCAAATGAAAATATCCATATTTACTGATTTAACGTATTTTAAACACGTTTTAACTTTTTTACATTTTATACATGTTTTAATACATAAAATGCTTACATCAGGGGTCCCCAACCTTCTTGAGTCTGTGGGCACCTTTGGAATTCAGTCGGAGTGTGGTGGGTGCAAGCCACAAAAGGGCTGCCTCGGGAGGAGGCGGGGCCAGCCACCACAGGACTGCAGTGGATTACCTTTGGTCACACAGTGAAGACCCTTGTGCTGTGCTGGCAGCTGCTGCCAAAGCAACGTTTTTCAAAATACCTGCAACAGCCAATCAAATCTCAAATGGCCAAACAGAAGCCTTACTGGGCAAAAGCCCTGCATGACCCCACCCACCTTAAATAAAAACTTGGTGGGCGTCAGGACAGGTGTGGGCAGGCACCACGGCACCCACAGATACCACGTCGGGAACCCCTCATTTACATATTCACTTACTATTCAAGTGGTCAAGATCGTTATTGATCAGGAAATTGCAGTATCAAATTAATTTAATCATGACATTAAACTTTTAGTGTACCTTCCACTATGGGTTCGTAAGTGTTAATCAGTGCAACAGCTCTTCCTTCACCTCCAACTTCAAACTGTTCCCTTCTTAGAAATTCAGCTAGTTTGCCTGCTGTTAGGATCTTTTTGTTAGGCGAGTAGCTGCAAAAGAGTTCGTGAAATTCAGGTCTGTGCATGAAAGCGCGATAAATGGCCCTGAAATCTTCTATGGTAATAACTCCAGACTTCTGTTTGTCATTTGTCTAAAGAAAAAGGAGAGAATACCCAATTAGCATGAACTCGGTTTTATTTATTTATCAAACTACTCGTATCCCACTTTTCCTCGTGTCTCAGTGCAGCTTACAAGTCGTGGATACAACGTTATAATACATCTTGACAGGCTTTCTTTGGCCCCAGGAACAAGACCCAAAATTTAGGTGCTGGACTCATTTTCCAGCCTTTATGGAGTTGTATTTTAATGACAGATTCTCATAACTTTCTTCAAGCCTTTAAAAACTACTACATCAGTAAATGTGGAGTTAACCTTGGCTGATATCATAATAAAAGCCTCATAAAGAAATTGCTGGAATTACTAAATGGGCTCAATGAAATTTCTAGGTACCAGTGACCTACTACTTAAAACCAGGTGGGTAGCAGTCTGAAGATGTGTGCTTTGCACACAAAAGCTTACACTGTGAATAAAACTTTCTTGGTCTTAGAGGTGCCACCGGACTCAAACTTTGTTCTTCAATTTAAAACCAGTACAATAAAACACCAGGTACTCTCCCTCCAGTCCAAAAATGTATATAGCAGTCTTAATTTAGAAACAGAGGGGAGAACAGCAGGATCCTTGAGCTTTCCTAAGAAATTAAACTTTCACTTGAAAATGATTAGTTCACACAAAAGCAAGAAGCTGCCTTACAATGAATCGAACCATCAGTCCATCAAGGTCAGTATTGCCTACTCAGACTGGCGGCAGCTCTCCAGGGTCTCAGGCTGAGGTCTTTCATATCACCTGCTGCCAGATCCTTTTAACTGGAAATGCCAAGGATTGAACCTGGGACTTTCTCCATGCCAAGCAGATGCTCTACCACTGAGCTATGGCCCCTACATTGCAACCCCCATGACTGTGAAGAGAAACTTACACAGCAGAATAATGCTAGGAAGGGAGAACATAAGCCAGTTGGGAAAACAGAGAACTCAAAACTGCAGCTTGGAACCCAGCTCCGTCTTGTTCCTGTAACCGGAATCACACCTGGGAGCAAAAGTCCTTCCAGGGGGAGCTCCTCCCCTCCTTCATACCAATACTGTGGCTTACTGATGCTATGACTGGAATGTTGGAGAAGCAACAGCCTGCTAAGAGTCTAGTTACTTTAAATAATGCTGAAAGAGTG